ATTGCTATCTTCTGTACTTTACAGATGAGGAAACTGAGATTCAGAGAGGTTAAGTGACTTGCCCATGGTAACTTACAGCTAGTAACTGGTGAAACCAGATCTCCTAGTAAGGTTTTTTAACTGAAAGTTCTGTAGTCCCAAACATACAGAGAGATAGAGAGAGAATAAGTATTATCAGAGATAACTTGCAATCCAGGCACCTGTGGCAAACACTCCCAATAAAATGTCTTCTTAGATAAGCAATAAGACAAATTCATTTGAAAGTATCAGAGGAAAGAAAGAAAACTCTAGACACAAGACCCTAATCTGGCCTTGGCAATAACCCCCAGAACATTGTTCCTTGGTGGGAAAGTTAGAGAGACCCATGGGACACCATGAGGCTGCTTGATAAAAAAAGCTTCTATATACAATCAGACCATTGCGGTAAGATCAGAATTGGAAAAGAAAAATAATAGAAAACTATATAGTGCACAATTAAAACAACTGAATCCCTAACTTGTTAACAAGTAATTAAAAATTAAAAATGAGACACACACAACAAAAATGACACTAACCCAGTGAGCAAACATTTATTAAGTGCTTCCTATGCACTAGGTATAAGAATTTATCTGAGGGGCAGCTAGGTGGAGTAGTGGATAGAGCATCAGCCCTGGAGTCAGGAGGACCTGAGTTCAAATCCAGTCTCAGACACTTGATACTTACTGTGTGACCCTGGGTAAGTCACTTAACCCCAATTGCCTCCCCAAACAGCAACAACAACAACAACAACAACAACAATAATAATAATAATAATAAAGAATTTACCGGAAGTTTAACCAATGTAAATTGCCACAACAAACAGACCAAAGGGGGACAGAAAGTGCTTTAATTGGCAAACATCTGACATTTGACAAATGGCAAGAGATGACATCAAAGGAAATACCAGCTCATAATATAAACTCATTTGTAAAATATTATAGATGTTCATAATTATAAGAAGTATTGTATTATAAAGCAGAAGTGGTGGAGGGTAAAACCAGTTTAAAGAAAGGTTGGCAAGATATCCAATTAAGTAAAAACATCTTAAATGCATTAAATGATGAAAATGGAAAGACAACGAAAAAAGAAAAATGGAAAAGATTTGCAAAATCATAATAATAAACTATTTCTCCATCAAGGACAGTGGAATCACCAAACTTGCATCGTGAAAAGGCAATTCCAGATGAGCTTATAAAAAAGGAAAAAATGGCACAGGGAACAAAGACATGAAAAAAAGCCTTATTAGACCATGTGTTTATAAAGGATATTTGTGCAAAAAGACACACAATTGTGAGGGTGTTGAGAGACCAATATATAAGGTACCTGAAAGAAGTGAATGATACCAAAGTCATGGAAAAAATTGGAATTTATTAATACCAAAAAAGATAACCAATAATCATCAATAATCACTGACCTATATGCCTCCTCTTACATCAATACAAAGTCTTTATGAGTCATCTATGCATGAATCAAGGCTATTAGACTTTTACACATCAGATCAACAAAGGACCAATCTATAGATAGAGAGAGAGGGAGAGAGAGAGAGAGAGAGAGAGAGAGAGAGAGAGAGAGAGAGAGAGAGAGAGAGAGAGAGAGA